CCGTTAGGGCACTCGCGCGTGAACTCGATAATGTCCCACCCGCCCGAGCGTCCTGCCGTTAGGTCCGCCCGCCCGACCCGGCCACGACCACTCCCGATAGGGTCCTTCCCGCACGCGTCCCGACCCGACAGGGAGCTCGACGCTCTCGGCGTGTAACACTCGATCATGCGCCCATCTTTCATGTCCCGCCCGTCCGAACCCGACCCGCAACCTGTCCAGGGCCCGCCCGCCCGACACCGACCCGACGCCAGTTGGGTCCGCCCGCCCACCCTAATCCGACCCGATCCGCCCGTTCGGGTCCGCCCGCCCGACCCGTCCTGCCTGTTCGGGATCCTCCCGCCTGACCCGACCCGACCCCACCCGCCTGTCAGGGTACTCGCGTGTCAACTCGATCATGCACCACACTGTAATGTCCCGCCCGCCCGGCTCGACCCGCCCGTTCGGGTCCACCCGCCCGACCCGACTCGACCCGACCCGCCCGTTACGGCACTCGCGCGTGACTCGATTGTGCACCACGCTTTCATGTCCCGCCCGCCCGACCCGGCCCGCCCGCTAGGGTCCGCCCGCCCGACCCGACCCGACCTGCCCGTCGCCAGCGACGTCGTCCTCCTTTTCCTCCTGCTATTTCCGCTCTCGTTCCCGGCCGCGTTCTCGCCTTCGTTTCGACTTGGTCTCCGCTCTCGTTCTCGCATTCGTTCTCGCTTTCGTTTCGCCTTTATTGCCACCTCGTTATCGCATTTGGTCTCGTCATCGTTTCGCTTTCGTTCGCGTTCTCGTTTTCGTTCTCGCCTTCCTTTCGGTTTCGTTCCGCTGTCGTTTCCGACAGCATTCTCGATTTCGGTTTCGCCCAGCGGCCGGGTCTTCCCAAACCAATCGTGTCTTCCCAAACCAAACGGGCCTTCCCAAACCACCCGGGTCGTCCCAAACCACAACGGCCGGGTCTTTCCAAACTAACAGGGTCTTCCAAACCAAACGGGCCTTCCCAAACCACCCGGGTCTTCCCAAACCACAGCGGCCGGGTCTTCCCAAACCAACCGTGTCTTCCCAAACCAAACGGGCCTTCCCAAACCACCCAGGTCTTCCCAAACCACAACGGCTGGGTCTTCCCAAACCAACCGGGTCTTCCCAAACCGAACGGGTTTTCCCAAACCACTTGGGTCTTCCCAAACCACAACGGCCGGGTCTTCCCAAACAGGTCTTCCCAAACCAACCGGGTCTTCCCAGACCTAAGCCCCGGTCTTCCCAAACCGAAGCTCTGGGTCTTCCCATACCAACCAGGTGTCTTCCCAAACCACGAGAGCAGGCCGGGCTTTCCTAAACCACCACGGGTTTTCCCAAACCAACTGGGTCTTCCCAAACCACAACGGCCGGGTCTTCCCAAACCAACCGGGTCTCCCCAAACCACAAAGGCTGGGTCTTCCCAAACCAACCGGGTCTTCCCAGACCAACCGGATCACCCCAAACCAACCGCGTCTTCCCAAACCAACCGCGTCTTCCCGACCCACGAGGCCCAGGTCTTCCCAAACCAACCGGCTCTTCCCAAACCAAGCGGGTCTTCCCAAACCAAACCGGGTCTTCCCAGACCAAGACCTGGGTCTTCCCAAACCAAAGTTTGTTTTGGGAAGCCCCGAGTGGTTTGGGAAAGACGCCCCTCCGGGTCAGCTGGTCAGCTGGTGGAGGCCCGGCTGGTCCACGCGCATCATGCAGCCGAGGAAGCGCACGCCCAGGCCCCCTCGCGCGGCGACGGCCTCACGATCGTGAGGCCTTCGGCCTGTTTTTTGGGGCTCCCGTGGGGCCCTCGCCGAGCCCCGGGGCCGTCCAGAACGGGCCCGGGATGCAAAGCTGGCCCCGGGGAAAGGGATGGGACTTCCAGGGGCCCCGTGCTGTAAAAGTCCAGGCATCGGATGTTCGGGAACATGGATTCGGGCGCTCGGAGGAGGAGGAGGAGGAGGAGGGAGGGATTAACGATGGGCCCCGCTTCCACACGACCTCGGAGCGTTCCGTCGCCAGAGCGGACGGCACTGGCGCCACGCTTCGGGGGGCAGCTTCCCCGAACCGTGGACTCGTCGCCCACGTGCTAGGACCACGGATCCGTAGGGCAGCGTGCGCCCGATTTCGGGAGCGGAAAAGAGGGGGGTGATGACTAGGGGGGGGGGGATATCATGGCGGGGGCCATGATATTTCCCCAAATTTCATGGCGCCTCTTCTTGTTCCATTACGTCCCTGGCCCCCCCCCTGGGCCGCGCACATGCCGCCAGCCATGATTTGCACCCCCCCTTGGACACCCCCCTCTTGGCCGCTCCCGACGATTGTGGATGAAGTAGTTCGCCATCCAATGGCAGCCCTGCAGCCCTCAGCCTTGGGCCATGGGTTTCCAGCTTCGGTCTCGAGTTGGGCGTCCGAGGGCCATGCACCCTCACGATCTGGTCGCGCCGTGTTTCCAGCTCGAGCGACGACGACCCCCTGACGGCCAACGTCTTTCTCAGCTCAGGGCGAAGAGCTTGGGCAGCTTTCGCCTCTGGGGGCCCTCGCCGAGCCCCCTGGACCGCTCAAACGCGCTTTGGGTCGTCGTCGTCGTCGTCGTCGTCGTCGTCGTCGTCGTCGTCGTCGTCGTCGTCGTCGTCGTCGTCGTCGTCGTCGTCGTCGTCGTCGTCGTTCTGGAGGTTTCTGGGGCGTTTTCTGGAGGACCCCGGCCGGGCGCAGCCATGGGACCCTGGCGAGGAGGGGGGGTCCCAGGGAGGGCTTCGAGGACGGACCTGGAGCGGATCTGCCGCGAGAGCGGCCCGGGCCTCCGTCGTCCTGAGCAGGTGGCCGAAGGGCCCCATGTATAATTCGCCCCCTCCTCTTCCTCCTCCTCCTCTTCCTCCTCCTCCTCCTCTTCTGGGCGCGACGGCCCGGAGACATGCCGGCACCCGCTGGATGTTTTTGGAGCCCAGGGCTCGGTGGAGGCCCGGGGGGGCGGACTTCAGCCCGAGCATGAGCACATGCAATGTGGCCCCTGCTTCCCATGACCCCCCCACCGCCCTGCAAGAGTGAGGCCGACTTTTTGTGTGCAAGATTTCTTCTCGGGGTGTTCTCGGGCCCCAGGATCTTCCAATAACCTCAGAATGGGGTCCGAGGGTCGCGCATTGAAGCAAGTCGGGGCGCCAGATGCCTGGAACAGTCATGGCTTCGTTTGTGCCTTCTTCTTGCTCGTCCTCTTTCGATCCGCTGTCGAGACTCTGCGCCATTTTTGTGAAGTTTTCCCCGCTGCGAGGCGCGACGAGGAGGCCGAGCGCTACTCCCGACGGCTCGACATGTGTGGCGGCATCTGAGGACGGGGGGCGCAGCCACCCGCCACTTCCGTGCACCGACCCTGCCCAATTCTGCGCGAGCTGCCCCTGCTGCGCGCGGCCCCGGTGGCGGGGACGGGGCGTGCAGGCCTCGAAGAGGTGCGCCCCGACGCGGCCGACCACGACGATGCGGAGCCGAGGCGCCGCCGCGCGGAGACGGAGGACCCCCTCCTGGCCATGGTCGGCGGACTCCCTCCGCCCACGCGGGATCCCGGGCCCACGACTGGCGCGCGCGCGCGCCCTCGGTCGGCGGCCGCGCACCTCCCGGCCCCGCGGGGGAGGCCGCGGCCCTGGGCGCGCGCGCTGGGCGCGCCCGCGCCGCCCGCGGCGGCTGCGGCCCCGCCGAGCGCCCCCCGCGGGCGCCGCGGCCCCGCCGAGCGGCCCGCGGGCCGCCGCGCGGCCGCGGCGGCGGCCGCGGTGGCCGCCGCCGCCGCCGCTCGGGCGCTCGGCCGCGCGGCGGCGCGCGCCGCGCGGCGGCGGCGGGGCGGCCGGCCCCTCGGCGCGAGGCGTCGGCTGAGGGCGAGGCGGCGCGCCCTCGCGGCTCCCGCCTGCCCGCCCCCCTCCCGCCTAGCTCCTCCCTCCGTGGCTCGTCCCTCCGCCGCTTCCCCCCCACATCCCTCCTCTCCTCCTCCTCCTCTGTCCTCCTCCTCTCCTCCTCCTCCTCCTCCTCCTCCTCCTCCTCCTCTGCCTCTCTCCTCTGTCCTCCTCCGCCTCCTCCTCCTCCTCCTCCTACCTCCTCCTCCTCCTCCTCCTCCTCCTCCAGCCTCCTCCTCCCCTCCTCTCCTCCTCCTCCTCCTCTCCTCCTCCTCCTCGTCCTCTTCCAGCCTCCTCCTCTCTCCTCCTCCTCCTCCTCCTCCTCCTCTCCCTGCCTGCCTGCCTTGCCTGCTTGCCTGCCTGCCTCCCTGCCTGCCTGTCTCCCTCCCTCCCGCCCTCCCTCCACTCCTCTCTCCCTCCCTCCCTCCGCCCTCCCTCCCTTCCTTCCTCCTATCTGCATGGCTTCGCCCTCTGCCGCCGCCGCCCCCCCTTCAGATTGCTTGCGTGGCTACGCTTGGTCGGTAGGTTGGTTGGTTACCTTGTTGGTTGGCTGGCAACTCGGCTGATTTGCTTGTTGTCTCAATCGATGGTTTGCTGGCTTTGGCTGTTTGCTGGCTGGCTGGTTGCGCGAATCTGCAGAACGTGGTATGAGATTTCGGGAGCGCGCTTCCACTGCAACTTACGAGGGTTCGCGGCTTCGGGATCGCGAGTCCTTTGCTACCTCAGTGGATTCGCGCCCTGGGGTCCAGGGCACAGTTTTCAGGAAACGATGGGGGGGCCGAACCCCTTCCCTTCCCCCGAACACATGTTCCAGTACACACAACATTAGTGGAGGGAGGGCGCTTTGGATCCGCCTCCGCGGGGCGGGTCCGTGGCCCCGGGAGCCCTCTCGGGCAAACTTTGGGCTGCCTTGGGCTGTAGGAAGCCAGACGGGGTCAGCAGGCTAAAGCCTGCCAGCATTTTTGGGGCAGCAGCAGCGTGTTCCGCCTGCGTCGCCGGTGGCCGCCGGCGATGGCCGCCGCGTCCCCCGAAGGGCCTCCTCCGCAGCCCGCGCGGCTCGAGCTGGGCCCCCCCCCGCGTCGCCGCGGCGGCCGCCGCGGCCCGCCTCGCCGCGGCCGCCGCGGCGCGCGCGGGCTCGTCGGCGCCGCGAGGGGGGGCGGCGCTCGCGGGGCGGGGCTGCGTCGCGCGGCGATGGCGCTGGGCAGGCGCGCTGGCGGCGGCGACGACGCCGACAGCGGCGCCGATGGCTTCCACCCCGACAGGCGCTGCAGCCTGTCGTGGTCCGAGGGATCCGAGGAGGAGGAGGAGGAGGAGGAGGAGGAGGAGGAGGAGGAGGAGGAGGACGAAAGGGAGGAGGAGGAGGAGGAGGAGGAGGAGGAGGAGGAGGAGGAGGTGGAGGAGGTGGTACACGGCACGGATCCCACCGCTCGTCCTGGCGGCTCCTCGCCGCCACGGCTTGCTTGTCTCGGCAGTTCTGCTCAGAACTCACTCCGGGAGGGGAAGGGGTCCGGGGAGCAGCAGCGGTACGTGTCCGTATGTTTGGCCCCAGCCGAGGGCGGGTCGGGCCCCGTCGTCCGTCGGGGGAGGGGGGGGCAGAAAAGAGGCAAGACAGGCAAGAACACGAGGAAAAAGCAGGCGGAAGAGGGGGAGGGAGGGAGGGAAGGGAGACGAAAACGACACCGAACGAGAAAAAAGACTGGGCACGGCTTCGCACGATTGCAAAAAACCCAGCGCAGAGCCCTTCATGGGGGCGGCCCTCCTGCTGCCGAGGACCTGGGGGAGGGCGGTGTCGAAGGCCAGGAGACCAACGACGGCACAATGTGGAACCCGAAGGAGCCTGTGCCCTCCCCCGGTGCAGGGTAAACCTACACCGGCACGAGGGGCAGCGCGAAAGCTGACCCCTGGGCTGCAGCAGACGCGAAGAGAAACGCCACGAGCCGTGCCCGACAAGAGAAAAAACCCGAAGCACAACGACGGACAGACCATTACTGCCAACGGAAGGAACAGGGGGCGGGGGCGGAGAGCGAATGGGGGGGGGGAAGGGCGAAAACCCCAACGAGAATCAATGCAACTACGCTCCTGCTTTCGTCAGTCTCCCTACCCGTGCCCCCGCTTCGGGGCAGCTGCCTTTCCCGACTTCGCTTTGGCCCCTCTGCTCGGCCCCGAGCTCTTCGCCCGCCCCCGTGTGCCTAGTTTGGCGGAGGGGCGGCGCTTTACGATGGCACGCTGTAGGGCGCCAAGCCGCTGGGCTGGTGACACTGCCTTCGGCGGCGCCTTGCTACCCGCGGGCGGGTGACCCGGGCCAATTGGACCCGCGCCGAGACGAGGTGAGGGGAGGGGGGGGGCGGGGCACGAAGAAGAGGAAGAGGACGACGGAGGAGGAGGGGGAGGAGCAAGGGGGGGAGGGGGCAGAGGAGACGGAGGAGGGACCCCGCCGGTCGGCGGAGGTCTCGGCGCGCCCCTACATTTTACCTCGTGATTCCGCATGGGCCTAGACAGCTGTCCCGGCGGGGGCTCGGGAAATAGCTTGCCGCACTTGCCACACGTGCGGTTCGCCAGACGCGATCCTCGGCACTTGCCTTCATGCTGTAGACGGCCCGCCGCGAGGATTAACACCTCGAATTTGCGGCACTTGGTATATCCTTCGGGAAGGACGTGCTCTGTCACAGTGCATCTGCGAACATGCCAACTGATGTCCTTACTCAGGACCCTCAGGCCGCATTTCTTACATATGTCCGTTTCAGCATATGATAGATCGCAAACCGCTGGTGGTGGCGCCGACCACCGGCCGGACTGCGCTGAGGCGAAACCCCGCCTTCCTACATCGGCAGCCCGGTCGGCCAGCTCATTGTCATGGGCGCCTGTGTGGCCATATACGTGCTCCCAAGTGATTTGACGGTTCTGACGGACCTCCTGCGTGAGCTCCCGGACGGCTTGGGCCAGCTCTTCGTTGGCGCCCGGTGTCCAGATACCCTGCGCCATATTGGCTGCATATTCCGAGTCGTATCGGATGTGCACCGGGACGCCCCCAGGATCGGGGGCTTCCTCTAGCAGCCATTTCATAATCTCGCCTATCGCCGAAAGCTCAGCAGTGTTATTGGTCTCATCGCGTGCCCCTGGCCACCGGTGGTCCCACTGAGCGGTAACGACTGGGGCGTGGAGCACGAAGTCCGGAATCTGACCAGGGGTCTCCGGACCATCGTAGCGAAAAACCACTGCTCCCCACCCCGCTGTTCCATCCTTGCCAGATCCATCTGTGGCAACCCACCAGCCCCGCGGAGGGGCCGGGCAGGGCCCCCGCACAGGGCCCATGACAAAATGGTGATGTACTTGGAGTGCCTGACGAAATTCTAACTTAGCTGGACATCGTGGCTTGTGGAGGCGGAGAGCCTGTAGAAAACCATCTTTTGCAATCTGGGCACTGGTGTGACGCCCATGCGACGAGAGACGGGTCTCGTACAGAGTGTTCATTGTCGTAATGACATGACAACTGATTCCCCGCCGTGAACTGTTGTGAACAAGTTGGGCACGCGTATACCCGGCCCTCTGGAGGCGGACCCCCTCCCTGAGGGGGAGGAGAAGGGGGAGGAGGAGGAGGAGGAGGAGCAGGAGGAGGAGGAGGAAAAGGAGGAGGAGGGGGAGGAGGAGGAGGAGGAGGATCCGCTTCCGGGAGCGCCAGGCCTGGTCTCCACGCACGCAACAGCGCCCGTCGGTTCACGTCGCGGCCCTGCGTGGGGAATGCCTTGTTGATGGAGCTCTGCCAGCCCTTTCGGGACTGGGCCCGGCGAAACCAGTCCATTTCGTCAAACGTGAGCTTTCGGATGCACCTTCGGAGACACGGGATCTGACCGTTCGGATTCGTGTGCTCCTCGACTCCTCCACCGCGGCTGGATATAAAACCGAAGAGGACCTGCTTGGGGGCGCGCCATGTTGGCATCCGAGCGACGTGCCCCAGCCACTGCAGGGACAGCTTGGCGACCTGATCCTCGACGGTCCTCCATTTGGCCGCGGCGTGCATTGCGGCATCTGTCACGTGGTGCTCCCTCATATTCCACACATTCATGCCGAACGCTCGCCTGACCGCATAGTTTGCCACTCTCTGGAGCTTGCGAAGCTCCTCCTTTGTCCACCCCCGAGAACGACAGCTGTAAAGCAAACGGCCCACAACGCAAGATTCGAGCACCTGTAATCTCGTGGGGATGTCTACACCACTGGTCCTGCCCCGGCCGTGTGCGGTGCCCACGGCCCAGCCTTTTGCGATGGCTTGAACAAACAGGCGGGCGGTCGACGCTCGCCGGGCTGTGTCGGCGCTCCGAATACCAGTTTCCATATGTATGGCTCCAATATGTTTCAGCTGGCCAACCTCGAACTCCCTTCTCACGTCATAGGGCATGCGTGGATCCTTTGGAAACGTAACTCTTCTGTTTTTCCCCGATTAACCCTCTCCTCCCAATCCTTCATTGTTTCGATAAGGAGGGGGCGGGCTACTTGCATCTCAGAGTCAAACCCCACAATGGCGGTGTCATCTGCAAACCCCACGTCGCCGATGACGACACGACGAAATCCCAGGTCCTCAGGATGGTCGACTGTATCGGTCCCGCGCTTTCTTCTGCAATCGGCCATCTACCTGGTGCGTAATCTCGAGTCCTGGGGCACGCCCTAATGCCTCAGCCGCGCGTTTGCGTCGGGCTCTGTAATCCGTCATCACCGCGTCGTGATACACATTGAAGAGGGGAGGGGAGGACGGATCCCCCTCCCTGAGTCCTCTCTCGGGGGTCCAGGGGTCCGACAGACCACCTAGCACCCGGACCCGACACTCGGTGTGGTTGCGTAGGGCTTTGCAGACTCTGAGCATGCCATCGGGGCACCCTCTGCGCGCTAATAAGGTCCACAGAGCAGGCCGGCAAACGCGGGGGTAGGCTTCTTCAATGTCGAAGAAATCGGAAACCAGTGCTTCCTCATTCCGGAGGGCTGCGGCCTCCTCCACCAGGCGGCGGGTGACCTGTAAAGCGTTGTCCGTGCCCCGGCCGCGCCGGAATCCCGACTGCGACTCTCCCATCCATGGCTCGGACCACACATTTATGCGAGACGCTACCACCCGCGCGACCAATTTGGACCCGACGGACAGCAGGGTAATACCCCGCCACGTGTTCTTGTCCTTTCGGGCCCCCTTCTGCTTCCAGAGTGGAATATTCAACGCTTCTCGCCACTCGCGGGGCCAAGCGGCCGCTTCCTCTCAGTCCTTTGCGGTCACCGCGCAATTCCACATTTTCCTGGCGAGATCGAATACCGCCGCGCGGAACGCCGCACCTCCATATTTTAGCGCTTCCGACACAAATCCGTCCCCCCCCGGTTGTCGCCCTGTCTTCATTTTATTCACACACTGGTCTAGTTCGATGTCGTTGGGTGGCTTTGCGAGCCACCGTTCGGCGGTGGAAACCAGGGGGATGTTTTGCCACACGTGGTCGGCAACCGCCCCAATCGTACCAGAAATCTGCGCGAAATGTTTGCGCCATGTTTCTTTTTCTTTGTCAACATTTTCTGTCGACACGACACCAGAATCCCGACGATCATGGCGCCGATTCTTGAGCTCACCGAACAGTCGGAAGAGCTCTGATTGATCTCCTATCCTGGCGGCTGCAGACGCTTGCGCGCCGATGTCGGTCCAATACTCTCGCTCCCACCGCCTTAAGGTACGACGCCGTTCCCGGGCTACTCTACGACGTTCCGCGAGGGCCGCAGGGGCCCCAGCGTCGTCTGAAAGGGCGTAAGCTACCCTGGTGCGCTCCATGTCCTCGTCGAGGCTCCTCTTTTCCTGTTCGTGGCCCCGTAACCAAGGCACTTGCGCCCTGGCTTGACGCTTTCCCAATACCTGTAATCCCGCTGCACGAGCGATGTCGCACAGTTCCTGCCACCCCAAAGGGGCCGGAAGATTCAGCAGCATATCCGTAGTGAGCCCGGGCCTCTTTAGCCGCCGGGGATGACCCCCGCATCGCCGAATAGTTGGGGACCGCTGGGCGGCTGTCGGTGTGACGGCCACGAAACAACCATCTACCGCTCACGGTAATTCCCACTTCCACCGGCTCGTGGTCCGTATACGCGGACCAAGCCACGATTCCGTCCTCTCGGACGTGCCACACGTCGTCCGAGCGACGGTGTTTTCGGCGTTTTGCCCTCCTTTCCCCTTGCAGCCCCCCGGGGCCGT